TTTTGAAAAGTAAAAAATTCTCATGAATATTCTTTTACAGTGCTGCAAGATTTACAAAGGTCAAAGAGTGGTTAAGAAGCTTAGTGATCGAGAAACTGCTCAATTTATTAGGACAACAGCTGTTCCACCAGCAACAAGAAAGAAACAGATATGCAATATTCATCGCACCAATGACTTTACTCAAGATCCAATGCTGAAGAATCTGCAGTTCAGTATAGCAGAAAGAGTATGACCTCTCCCGTTTCTTTTATATGCAGTAATCACCATTTTATATATGAACATACAGTATACTTTTCCATTGACCCATTAGGCTTTGAGCCATTTTATATATATATATGTACTGTATATATATATATATATATATATATATATATATATATATATATATATATATATATATATATATATATATATATATATATATATATATATATATATATATATATATATATATATATATATATATATATATATATATTTCATTAGCCCAATAAACACGCGGACTTCTACATACAATCAACACCTCAACCCGCCAGGACTCGAACCCAAGGCTCACGAGCCTTTGACTGTGACCGGGGAATGCTAACCGCTGGACCACCAGGATACTAAAAGCAGTCCTAGACTCTGTTATATTTCACACAAAGCCTGTTCAACGAGCTTATGGCGCCTTGAACCTCTAATGGGGACTACCCGTATCACGTAGGTGGTCAGAGTTAAGTTTTACCAAATCCGGCTTTGAAACACGAGGAACAGGCTTTGTATTATATATATATATATATATATATATATATATATATATATATATATATATATATATATATATATATATATATATATATACAGTCATGCGCCGGTTAACGTCCTAGATACGTTCTTTGAAACGTGACATTAACCGAAATGGACGTTGTCCGATCATCACATAAACTTTGTATTTATACTTACGTGTATGTGGAATACAGTTAACCCTCACTTTACGCGGTTAATGTAACCCGGAGGGTACCGCGGAAAGCGAGAAACGCGTAAAGTGAATAACATAACATATGGGATTAATTGAAATGGAGTCCAGGCCGATCCCCAAACTCCACTTTTTGATGACACATAACTATGTTGTAGTAAAAATAACATCTTAATTTTATGATGGTACATGCACACAATTAATACTTAAGAGAAATAGAGAAATACAGTCGCCAAGTTAATGTCCATTCAAATAATGGACACACTCCCTCCCCCTCTCACACTAACTGCCGGCTCTTCCCTCTCTGAGAAATTTTTGGGGGAAAACCAGGTATAGTAATAAATAATACCTCAAACTAAAGTTAGGATAATATAATTGACATTGCTGGATTCCTTGTAAGACCAGGAATATTTTGAATATAAATGTCATATATTTTTCACAAAAGATAACATACTTACTCAGATTAAACATTTTATCTAAAAATTTTATGTCTAATGCAAAATATATGATGTTTATATTCAAAATGATCACCAAATTGTAAGAATTCCAGCAATGGAAATTATATTCAGGCCGGGTAATTTGTATGAATTTTATGAGCTAAAACAAATATCTTCAGTTAATAAAAAAAAAAAATATTCTTCACGACACTATCTGTCAATCAAAGTACCCCACCTTGCCTCCCCCCCTCTTCCAACCGCGCGGTTCAGTCCCAACCCTCCCCCCCACCCCCCACCACTCCTCCCTTCAAGAGAAAGGTTGGGTGAAAAATTTAGATTTTAACATTTTGTATTAAATAATACCTCAGATTAAAGTTAGGATAATATAATTGACATTGCTGGATTCCTTGTAAGACCAGGAATATTTTGAATATAAATGTCATATATTTTGCACAAAAGATAACATACTTACTCAGATTAAACATTTTATCTAAAAATTTTATGTCTAATGCAAAATATATGATGTTTATATTCAAAATGATCATCAAATTGTAAGAATTCCAGCAATGTAAATTATATTCTGGCCGGGTAATTTGTATGAATTTTATGAGCTAAAATAAAAATCTTCAGTTAATAAAAAAATGAAAATATTCTTCACAGGGTAACAGATGGTCGGTCGCCAGTCCCTCCCTCCCTCCCCCCCACCCCCCACCAACGTCCCTACTAGATAAATGTGTGGGAATACCAGACTGTTTACCTTTTTAGTAATAAATAATAAATCAGACTAAAGTTAGGATAATATAATTGACATTGCTGGATTCCTTGTAAGACCAGGAATATTTTGAATATAAATATCATATATTTTGCACAAAAGATAACATATTTACTCAAGAGTAAACATTATATCTAAAATTTGTATGTCTAATGCAAAATCTATGATGTTTATATTCAAAATGATCATCAAATTGTAAGAATTCCAGCAATGTAAATTATATTCTGGCCGGATAATTTGTATGAATTTTATGAGCTAAATTAAAAAAATTATACTTCACCGTGTAAAGGGGTACACCCACCGCGGAATGTGAGCATCCTGGGTTCTGGCAGGGCACCGCGTAAACGTGGAAACGCGGAATGTGGGACCGCGTGAAGTGAGGGTTGACTGTATATATATATATATATATATATATATATATATATATATATATATATATATATATATATATATATATATATATATATATATATATATATATATATATATATATATATATACATATATATATATATATACATATATATACATATACATATACATACATATACATACATATATATATACATATATATATACATATACATACATATACATATACATATATATACATATACATATATATACATATACATATATATACATATATACACATATATATATATACACATATATATACACATATATATATACACACATATATATACATATATATATATATATATATATATATATATATATATATATATATATATATACATATACATACATACAGTGACTGCTAATCTAACTCAATCCGTCCAGAAGGTCGCTCGTTAACCGAAACCATTGTTTCAATGGGTTTTGGGTAATTGGTTCCAGCTCACCGAAAATTTCCTAAATTCAACAAAAATGGTAGAAAAGTTCACTTACTTTGAGGTGTGTATGTAGAAGGCTCCTGGATGATGATGATGATGATGATGATGATGATGGAATTTAGAATGGGGGTGGAGGAGAAGGGAGAAGAGAAGGCATTGGGGTGGAAGAGAAGTCACCCCATGGCGCCATTTCACCCATAAAATTTTAGCTCTCTTGCTGTAATTCAAGATTATTTTCTTTAAATCAACACTGCACTGCATTATATATTGTCAATATGTAAAAAATATTTCAAAATGACCAATAATTTGCTTGGAAACACAGAAAAAAAGCGTTTAGTTGAAGAGTCTCAAGCAAGATGTTACCTCCAGTGAAAACAGAGAGAGACTAACTCCTGTTTGCTGTGTAAAGAAGCTGGATGCCGTGCATTAAACTAGTCACTTTACCTTCAATTATGTTCAATAATTGTTAAAATGACTTAAGAAATTGAATATTAAACTTTTAAAATTATTGAATAGTATAAACTTCTTAATATTTACTAAAATAGTAAGGAATTTAAGCCCTAGAACCGATTAATGTATTTGCGGACTGATACTAAAGCTGGTTGCCCGGTCAGTGCAAGCGAAAACATGTTGAGGTCGGTTCGTAAGAACTTCGTTAACTGAATTTTTTTTCGTTAACCGAATTGAAGATCCTTATGGAAGGCAGTTCGTTAATCGAAATTACGTTAACTGAGGTGTTCGTTAAACGAGGGGTCACTGTGTGTATATATATATATATATATATATATATATATATATATATATATATATATATATATATATATATATATATATATATATATATATATATATATATATATATATATATATATATATTATATATATATATATATATATGCTGATAACCACAAGGAAAGAAGAAAACATATATATATATATATATATATATATATATATATATATATATATATATATATATATATATATATATATATATATATATATATATATATATATATATATATATATATATATATATATATATATATATATATATATATATATATTTTATCACACATCTCAGATGTCTTACTGAAGATCTAAAGCTAAGGTACTGCTGTTTCCATTTTCCTGCAGGATTTTATCAAGATTTATCTTATCCACCTTTCAATAGATTTACATGATATATATATATATATGGTGTTATATATACTTGTATATATATATACATATATATATATATTATATATATATATATATATATATATATATTGTATATATTATATATATATATATATATATATATATATATATATATATATATATATATATATATATATATATATTATATATATATATATATAATATATATATATATATATATATATATAATATATATATATATATATATATATATATATATATATATATATATATATATAGAGGAGTCTTAAGTTATTCTCTTATAAATGTCAATGAATGTGACTTTATAGTAATGCATACAAGCACCTCATGAGGCATCACACAAGAAGCTTTGAATTTCTGTACATGTAAAGTATTTCATGGGGCAAAGGGAGGCTCAAGAACGTAACTCCCATATTTTATCTATTTCTTATAGGGAAAATTGGTCCGCTTAACGTTGTTTTGTATATCGTCGCGGTTTTAGGAACGTAACCCCAACGTTAAGCAAGGACTTACTGTAACTATTTTTCTATAACCATTTTAAACTTTCTGATCACACATGCCATTTTTCATAATTGCAAAGGCAACTCAGTAGGGCGTGTTTGTATCCCCCAGGAGGTCAGGGATGTACGGTATGTTTGTGTGCATACCCCAGGAGGTCAGGGCTGTAAGGCATGTGTGTCCTCCAGGAAATCATGGCTGTAGGGCTTGTGTATGTGTACCCCAGGAGGTCAGGGCTGTAAGGCATGTGTAACCCCCATGAAGTCAGGGCTGTAGGGCTTGCGTGTGTGTGTCCCCCGGGAGGTCAGGGCTGTAGGGCATGTGTGTGTCCCCCAGGAGGTCAGGGCTGTAGGGCATGTTTGTGTCCCCCAGGAGGTCAGGGCTGTAGGGTATGTGTGTGTCCCCCAGGAGGTCAGGGCTGTAGGGCAAGTGTGTGTTCCCCAGGAGGGGGACTCTGTGATGTGTACTTTTACTTTTATCCTCTTCACCACTGATCGGCTTGCTTGCTGCTTGGGCGATCGGTTACATCTCTGTTAAAAATAAAATAATAAAATAAGAATGATAGCAATAATAATAATAACAACACTAATACTACTACTAATAATATACACCCATAAAAAATCCAAAAATGAAAAAAAAAGATCAAAAGTGAGAAACAATATACTGTATGTATGTTGTGTTGTCAATAGTAAGAGAAACAATTGAGACCCTGCAATTGTGTGTAAATGAGGCAGAAAGTCAGATCAGCAACCTGGGACTTGGTCACAATTTTTGTGATGCCATATGGCAGCAGGGTCTACCATTAGACATTACATTATGCTTCCAATATCTTCCCAAGTGGTAGTACTTCCCTGTTTGGTAGCTACCTACTAAAGTCAAATTATTGATGTAATATGCAGTTAAAAAGTATAACAACATATGATAGTGTAATAATGTTCCTGGTATTTATTGTCAGTAAAGCCTACCAATCTTTTAACAATGATTTCTTATGGTACAGTAAAATTAACAGTGGGCTTTCCGGACCATTGGATGCTGGACTATTGGACCTTTACTGTATATATTAAATTTTTTTCATATTTCTTTGAATCAGCCATTACACATGGAAGGCAGAATTTTACCTGCACCTGAATTGTTGATGGATGCACCAGTTCAACCAAGAGAAGGAGTATGGGATGCTAGGAGGAGATTATTTTACAGAGGAGCAGATATAAACACATGGGTGGTGATGAATTACAATCCAAGATTTGTTGACCAACGAAGTACTGAGTAAGTTTTGAGATTCAAAGTACAGTATTCATCTTCTTTTATCGGTGGGTGTAATCCAAGAAGATTCATTTATAGTGCAACCCTTAAGGGAGATCAGAAACTACAATTTCCACTTAGATTGAGTGTGTTTGGTACTACAGCAGCTTACACACAGAACTACTCTTGCCCAGCATTTGACTAGATACATTTAATGTTTTTCCTTATCTAAAGTATGCACACAACAGGGGGTTTTCTTTACTTTGTTATTTAAGGGGTAAAACAAAACATTCAACCAAGTTTGTGGAAACAAAATGTGACATAGTCTACCAGTAGGTCTGAGGTAACCTGGATGAGCTTGTGGGGTACGAGTTGTTTGGGTTCACACTCAGGATGGGATGGAGAAAAGAAACTCACAATGTGCTCTCTGTATACATGTTGTATTGGATGTACAATGCAGCTTGGTGCTGGGAAGGCAGCATGGTTACAAGCGTGATGTAGAGAGAGCTGGTTGGTGAGGATGCTCAGAGGAGGACAGCTTGTGGGTCGCCATGCTCGCCGGCGGGAGCGAGGACCGCCAGGCAGCGGCGGAGAAGGTGGTGTTGCTTGCTGCGGCTGTAGCTAGAAGAAGAGACAGGTCACCACGAGGTCAGGTCTTTTATAGCGGAGGTAGGCGTGGGTAGATAGTTGACCTCCGCTCCGTGGGCGGCGCTGGTTGACCTAGACCACGAGGCATACACTGGGGAATTCGCGGGGTCGGCTACTCAGCGACAAACAGCGTTTGTACGGGAGAAATCCACTACAAGCTTATATCACAGTAAACTGGAAATTCCTCAAAAGTGGTTCAGTCTTGGTCCCAAAGGTACTGGATTTCTGGGTCTATACCTTACTTCTGTTTTTCAATATTGTGCTGGATCCCAGATAATTAATAGTTACCCCTTGAATTCCATGGGTTGTGTATCCCAGGGACCCAACATTTGAATTTTGTAAAGCAAGTATCGCACGTGTTCCTTTTTTATATCTACCTTATGTGCTTATTTTAAACATATATTTTGACTTGCAGGACATTCATTACCAAATTACTTCACATGGCTGATGAGAAAGGGATGAAATTTTCTGAGCCAGTTGCTGCATTTGGTGTACGGACACCCTGTCCTGAGCAAGATTTTACAAGGCTTAAGCAGGAATACTCAAACCTACAATTGGTATTAGTTATCTTAGGAAGAGGAGGTGATCTTTATGGTGAATATGACATAGCATTAATTTCTGGTCTCTATCAAGCAGAGTAGATAATAGATTTTCTTAAAACAATTTTTTTATATTATATTATGAAAACTTAATTAAATAAAAAAAAGTAAGGTTAAAATGTGCATGTGAACATGAAATAATTATAAAGATATCTTTATTATCACCATCACTGTTTTTCTCAATTGCATGCTATAGCTATGAATATCTGATGGCAGCTCTAAAAGTTACCATACATGGTCACTAGCAGCCTCTCTCATCATTTTTGGTTGACCCCTAGCTGTCTGTTGCTTATCAGACAAAAATTTATGGCACTTAATATATCAAGTAACATTTGGCAAAAACCCTGCAAGATCTAAGTACAGGTACCTGTACTATACAGTATTGATGAATTGTTAATTGAATGCCAATTCCTGATTTATAACTTGCCTATCTCCAGTATACTGTATGCTAGTTTGTGAGCTCATTATCCTACTTGTGTTACTTTCCTACCTTATGTATTTACAAATAAATATTCTCTAGGGGTGCGCTATTTAAATTTTTGCCGGGACCCAAATCCGTATACAGTGAACCCTCACTTTACGCGGTCAATTGAACCCACGGCGGCCCGCGTAAAGTGAGAAACGCGTAAAGTGAACAACATAACATATGGGATTAATTGAAATAGAGACCGGGCCGACCCCCAAACTCCACTTTTTCAGACACAATACCTATGTTGTAGTAAAAATAACTTCTTAATTTTATGATGGTATGCACACACAATTAATAATTAAGAGAAATATCAATAATATTAGGTTCTTTAACACTTACATTAGTAGAAAAGATGGCTGGGCACACGGGGATGGGGGGTTGGTTCCGAGGCAGAGGGGAGATTATTGGCCCTCACTTGTATCAATTGTATCACTATCCACCACAGAGGCTTGCAGGGCCTCTTTGTCAAACCCCTCAAAGTCCATATAAGTCCATATCCTCATTATCATTATCACTATCACTGACTTGGGCCGGCTGTGGTGGGTGGCGGGTGAAGAACTCGGTAATGTTTTGATGACTGGGCGACCTTGTGTGCTCCCTGCTCGCGCCGCCCTGCGCGTAAAAGGGTACACACACCGCGGAAAGTGAGCATTATGTGTTCGGCAGGGTCCCGCGTAAACGCGTAAAGTGGGACCGCGTAAAGCGAGGGTTGACTGTATATAAGAGGGGTAGTAATATAGGAAATTCATATTATTGAATTTTCGTATACCAAGGGATACTGGTACAATACTGTTATCCTTTGTACAAAGGTTTATGAAAGGTCTTTTATTTTGTCATTTTACTTTGTTGGGTATACAGTAGTGGAATTGATCCCATTTCTTGATTGATCTGGGTTTTTGTAATGTGACTATTTTATATTTTAGCTCGTATCAAGAGGACAGGGGACACTGAAGTTGGTATATTGAGCCAGTGTGTTCAAGCAACAAATGTGACTGCAATTAAACCACAGACACTTGGAAACATTCTCCTGAAGATCAATGCAAAGATGGGTGGTATTAACAATGTTCTTTCAAGAACTGGAATGCCTATGGTAAGTTTGAATCATGGAAATTATTTTTACAATTGTTATTTTACCAGAACCAGTAAAAGTACATCAACATGTTAATGATGAAAACAAACAAGAGTTCATTCATGGTGGTGTTGTACCATCATTTTTCCTTGAAAATTTTGCAGTTCAAATCATTGCCACTACTCCAGTACCATGGACACCTTGTGCAAGTGTTGGTGATGCACTTTTACTTGGTAAACGTGCAACATGTGGAAAAACACTTCTACCTCGCTTTCCTCCTTGTCTCTAATCATTTTGTCAGTTAATATGATGTCAATATTCCGAGCCTTTTTTATTGTTTATTTATGAAGATAATCTATTTCTAGAGATTTTATGAAAAATTTCAAGTAGTAAATTAAAGTGCTGTACAGTGTTTTAAGTGGTAGTTCTTGAATACAGTATTTATCTATTTATTTTATTCTATTTTTTCTGTAGATATTAGAAAGACCTGTTATGATTATGGGTGCAGATGTAAATCATCCATCAGCTGGAGATGGAGAATCCCCGTCCATGGCTGCAGTTGTTGCCTCATATGATAGGTTTGCCTCCAAATTTTCTGTAGAAGTGAGACCTCAGCCACATCGTGTGGAAATAATTCAAGATCTAAAGGAAATGACCAAGTATGTGTAAGAAATTTTTATTATATATTCAGTACTATATATCAATTCGCATTCTGAGGTTTGAACAAAAACGTTTTTTTCTTCTATTATGCACTTCCATCTTCCTCACAAAAACTTGATGATTCAATTACTGGTAAAGGTATTTATTTTGCACTTTAATATTCTTTTCTATAAATTACAGAAACTTGTTAAGGTCATTCTTCATTTACACAAAAGGACATAAGCCCGAAAGAATTGTTATGTATCGTGATGGAGTTAGTGAGTCTCAGTTTCAAGAAGTATTGTCATATGAGCTGAAAGCTATGCGAACAGCTTGTACTGAAACAGAAGTTGACTACACACCTGGCATCACTTTCTTAGTGGTTCAAAAGCGGCATCATACAAGGTACATTAATGTTACTGATGTACATTTTCTTTCCATCTTTTTTCAGTTCCTCTTAATTTTACTTCTATCCTCTTCACCACTGATCGGCTCGTTAGCCTCTTGGGCGATCGGTCACGTCTGTGTTACGCACTGTTGGCAAGTACTGGGCATGCACTGGCTCCTGAATGTATCTCATCCTGCTCCAGTGCTTGTCTGGTCTATGTGTGTCTACACACACACATATATACAATACAGGTTAAGTAAATTACTGTCTCTAGAACGAATGGCTCCCTGTCCCGGCCACAAAAATGGCGGCAACTTTAAAACTACCCACAGAGATTTTTGGGTACATCCAGGGTGTCATCCGCAAATAATAGAGGACTGTGAAATCAAAATCAGCGAATTCTCCAGGCGTACTGTATACAGTGGTCTCTCGGTTAACGAACGGTTCGGTTAACAAAATTTTGGTTAACAAATTACCTTCCATAAGAATCTTCAATTCGGTTAATGACAAAAATTACTTTAACAAAATCCTTACAAACATCATGTTTTGTTGTGAGCATCAGCTGATGGGCTAGTCTGCCAATTCAGTAATATGTTCTATGTTTAAATTCATTTCCAGTGGAGTAAATATCAATAAAGTTATATTCTTTAATATTTTTGCATTTTTTATATACTGCCAGATCTGGGGTCACTAAATCTAAGGGGATAACTTAACTCTAATCTTAATTTCTAAGGGTCGCTGCCACCAGACCCCCTCTGGACAGCATGTAGCTCGTTAGGTAGCGGGCAGAGTGAACTAGGCATTGGGTTAGGTTTTCCATTGATCAGATCGATAAGGGTAAAGAAGGGTGAAACCATAACATGTCTTCATTGATTTATTTCTTATAAAACACACTGGTAAAAAAAACATACATGAACTGGCCTTCCTCAGAAGAACAACGGAATTTTGGTTACCCAACTGGGCCCCAGACTCCTACATTACTGGCGGGTCATCCACCCACTTATTGCACAACAATCGGTGAACGCCGTATCTCGGTCGTTCCTTCTTACAATATCCCTTATCACATCAGACTGTTCCACTGGTGTGGCTTGTAGCACCGTCGGTTATCATACATAGTAGCACCATCGCAACACACCTGTTACACTCCATACCTGCAAGTATGTGACTCCTTGTGACTTTTAGGTCTACACAACGGGCCCCTCGTTCGCACACCGCCCTCGGTGGGTAAGGACGAGGGCTTGACCTAGAGACATACCAGCACTATTTCTACGCCTGGTATTATAGGTCGCTCCAAGTGACGACCGCAGTTTCTCACGGTCTCCTTAGTTGTGACTATTCATGTGGAGTGGTGCGCTGGGAATCCACCGGTTCATAGTGGACTGGTATAGTGGGGAGTAATTCCCCACCTGGTGTGGCGCTCCAGGAGACAATGGCGGCCGGGCGGCAAGATACCCCAACCACGTGGCACCTGTGTGGACGGCAGAACGGGAAAGACTAAGCAATAATGCCTGACGGGCGGTTATCCCATCCCTTAACACATCCCTATCACACTTATATATCCGGCAAAGCTTTAAACTGTAGTCACTGTTATTTATCAACCTTAATTGTAGGGCGGGATATAGCCCGCTAGGACACTGACCTGTGTTGACGGCAGAACGGGAAAGACTAAGGCCGGCTTCCCGCCGCTTCTCGTCACATAGGCCTACAGTTTCCAATCCTCAATTTACATTTTTGTTTCTTATGGTTCTCACCTGAACACTTTACGGTATATTGTCACTCATTTCTTATAAACACATATATTAATCCTAACTTATACACTAAGGTCAGGTCTTGGTTTGCTAGTGCTTGGTTAAATGCCTGGGATTTTAATATCAACGGGCATCTGAGGCGGGTACATGACGCGCCTTGAAACAAAAGCCGAATGATCATGGCGGGGTGTATCAACTTCACTTAAAAACTGTAATGAGGGATCCTCCTCTCACACAGTGCACTATTTGAACACAGACCTCAGATTCTCTGATCACTGTACCTGTCGTGGGTATATGTCACGTGAGGCTACGAGGTGTATTAAATTCATACCGACGCATACACGATATTTCCTTTCCAGTATAGTTTCTAGATCACTGTCAACACCTCACATAGTTCTGATACATTTATCCCT